AATTCACACTTATCCGGTTCTCGAGTTCGATTCATTGACTGATTAATCAATCTTCTTATCACAGAGTAATTTACAAAAGGTGATTCACGCTTTCGTAACAACTCGTTTAGATTATTGTAATTCACTTTATTGCAGTGTTTCTCAGTCTTCCCTCTCTGTCTACAGCTAGTGCAAACACAGCTGCTACTCTCTGGGTCCCGCAAGTATGAGCCAGTAACTCCTATTTTATCTGCACTGCACTGGTTACCTATCAAATATAGAATTGATTTTAAATAGTTTTATTTGTTTATAAAGCTCTCAATAATTTGGCCCCTCAATACCTGACAAACCTGCTCTGTTCGTACACCCCTTCTAGAAGGTTGAGGTCCAGTGATCTCTGTCTGTTCATCGTGCCTAGATCTAGACTTAAACAAATTAAGTGATCGTGCTTTTGCAACTGCAGGTCTGAAACTCTGGAACAGTCTTCCTCTTCACATTAGATTAGCTCCCTCTATTTCTGCTTTTAAGTCTGCTGTAAAGACATATCTATTCTCTCTAGCTTTCAATACCCCTTGATCATCGGTTCAATTTTTGTTTTATTATTGTTGTGTTTTAAATTTGATAGTCTTGTTTTATCTATTATTATTTCTAACTTGTTATTCTAATCTGTACAGCACTTTTGGTCAACTTGGGTTGTGTTTAAAATGTGCTTTATAAATAAATATTGTATTGTATTAAGTCACAGCCTTATCCACTGAAAGTGAATAACAGCTATAATTTGGTCTGTTTCACCCACAATGCTATCTTATCACTTCAGAAAACTTGAATTAATTATGGACAACTTATAAGATGCTAAGAATGCAATCCTTTTGTAAGGTTAAAGGGGTCATATGATACTATTTAAATTTTTCCTTTCTCTTTGGAGTGTTACAAGTTCTTGGTGCATAAAGAAGATCTGTAAAGTTGCAAAGACTAAAGTCTCAAAATTAGAAAAAAGTTCTAACACGCCCCCACATGTCTACGTCACAATGTGGGAAGATTTGCATAACGTCGCCCAAATGTTCACGCAAAGAAAGAAGGCGTAACTTTTATTCTCGCTGTAGTATTGTTGTTGCCGCCACCACCATGTCGTGAAGGTGCTGTGTGTTTCGTTGTGAAAGCGAAACTACTTTGTTTGGTCTTCCAAAAGAGGACGATATCCGCTTCGTCATGCCTGGAGCTGATCTGTGCTGGTCGGTGAGGAAATACATCAACTTCGCGCTGTGGATCGCCGGATCGGCTTTCACCGTGGACGAAGCGTTGTCCAGCCTGGGGTCGTCACACGTGGTTGCCGCAAGCCCGCCGCCGCTCACTCAAGCCGGCCTCGCTCACTCTAGGCCGCCGGCTGCCGCTCACTCTAGCCCGCCATGTGTGACGCTGTGTGTTTCGTTGTGAAAGCAAAATTACTTTGTTTGGCTTTCCAAAAGAGGACACGACTAGAAATCAGTGGTTAAGTTGTATTTACAACACTGTTTCAGAACAGTTCAACCCAAATATTCAGATGTGTGCAGCACATTTTATTTTACTGTTTCCTGATCATGGTAGAGTAGACTACAATGCCGGCTGTTCTGACTCACAGACTGTAAGTACGTTTTTTATATTTAAAGAATTTTTAAGCGATTCAAACGTGAGTTTTGAGCAGTGTAGAGTAGTGCTTGTTGTTTGTCATTTCTCCGATCACAAATGCAGACATGGTTTTATGTTTACGCGGCGCGATGCAACGCAACGCGTAACAAGACAGTATAAGTCATTATAATCTGTAATTATGTCCCCAATGGATGTAACAAATGCCTTGTTTATAATGGGTTTGAATGTTTTTGTCTCGTGGCTCCGGCCGGGACACGGAATCACAATATGGTAAGGGGCGTAACATTTCCGTCACACGCTTGAGGTATTCGGCCAATCACAACGCACTGGATAGCTGGCCAATCAGAGCACACCTCGCTTTTCAGACCGATGAGCTTTGTAAAAATCAACACGTTTCAGAAAGAGGGGCATAGAGGAGAAACAATAATGTACAGTATGTGGAAAATAATATTTTTTGAACCTTAAACCGCATAAACACATTTCATTACACCAAATACACCAAATAATGTTCTTTTTAGCAACATCATATGACCCCTTTAAAATCCACATTCATTGTAACTGCATGAAAAAGAACAACCAAAACAATCTTCAGGATTACTCTTCTCTTTCTCAGTAAAAAGCCAGTCATGGGTTTGGAACAACATCAGGTTGAGTAAATAATATAGATTTCTCATTTCTCAGTGAACTATACATTTACATGCGGTGCACACACACTGTGGAATTGTGGTAAGAGTCATGGAGGAAACACACACACACACACACACACACTGCACAGCACTGAGCTGTCACGCACCAAAATGGTTCCATCAAGATTATCATTGACTTTCTTGCCAATCGATGCCTATTTTCCAAAGGCAGTAATCTAATTTAACCTATTCCCAGATACGCATGCCCAACTGAAACTGCTCTGCTAATGTGAGACACAATAGGGCATTAAGACATCAAATCAGGCCAGCAAACCATCTAACATAGACTGAACTAGGGCTGCCCTCGTTTAAAGATTTTTCTGGTCAACTAGTAGTCATTCATTTGAAGCATTAGTCGACTAATAGCATATTTATTAATAAATCATTTAAATTATATTAGCCTAATAAGCACTCAAGCGCACGCATAAAGCTTGGCACGGCACACCGGCAGAAGTAATGATTATGAATGTGTCAGGGAAAAACAGTAAGGAGACTGCATTAACATTTTAATAATTCATCTTTGTTCTCAGATTAAGAGATGAACTCGGAAACACTGACTCGTCATCTCCGCATTAGTGGACGCGCCTGTATGTTTCATACGGATGACATAATCTGATAATATTTGTTTTCCATTCGAATTGGTTCATATGAAAGTAGACATTTCACTCTCTATAGATAGGCTATATTTTTCATGTCTGTAATGTAGCCTAAGTTTACACAGAGTTTCACGCTCAAGTTCACAGACTGTGACGGCAGAAAGTCCATCCTTTTACTTTCAGTAAACATCTTAAAGTTTACTTTCATTATTTTACAAAAGCGCAATGTTTTGTTGTTATTGTGAGTGCATACAAATAAACGTTGAGTCTTTACAGATTGGAGAGATGTATTACTCTTATCTGTATGACCAAAAATGGCGGAGTATTTTACGAGCAAGTGAATCACCGGCACCTCCATCTGTCCTGCAGTGTGTGCGCTATTCAGCTTCAACACTTCGCACAGACACTGAATAGCACACATTTTTTAGGTTGACATTTGATTGAGCGGCCATGTAAAGTTGCTAATACTTACGTATTTCAGATGATAAGCCATATTTGAGGTCGATGAATGATAGGCGAGCATTTGGATGTCCTGCCCGATGTACTGTATTATTAGTCTACCACATAGACCAGCCCTTAAAGATCTGCGTGACTTCACCTGTGGATTTTTATAAATTTTTTCTGCGACTAATAAAATGTTGGTCAACCAAGCCTCTTCTGGTCGACTTACGGTTAGTCAACTATTAGGGGGCAGCCCTAGACTGAACTGACCTTTTGCATCAACAACTACACACTTTTAAAGGCTAATAATTCGGCTACGAATAAAAATGACAATAAAGCAGTTATTTTGAAGTACGAAGACCTACAAGTCAGAAACTGGGGTAAAAACCACTGAGATCTTATTAATATCTTAATTATTCATCTGAGGCAGCTACAATACATTGCTTCAAAGTGACAGTAAGGACATTTATAATGTTAAAAATGTGTGATCTATATGGCATCTATTTCAAATAAATGCAATTTTCTGTTCGTTCCTGGTTTTCACAAAAATATTAAGCACAACATTGATAAGAAATGTTTCTTGAGCAGCAAATCAGCATATCAGAACGATTTCTGAAGGATCATGTGACACTGAAGACTTAAGTAATGTCTGCTGAAAATTCAGCTTTGCCATCACAGAAATAAATGAGATTTTAAAATACATTAAAAAAATTAAAGAGTTATTTTAAATTGCAATATTTCAATATTACTGCTTTTACTAGACTTTACTTTTTCTTTTATTCTATTCAAATGAATTTGACATTTTTAAAGAAATATCTGTGACAGCATTGATATTTCTATGCAACATCTGAGAACTCATATGAGCTATGCAACAAATTACAGTGCTGCTCATTCATACAAACTAATTAAAAGAAAACTTCTGCATAAGAAATCATCTCCGTTTCTTGAACAGTCACTTTCATTTCATTTCTATTCATATCTATATTCATATACACACATATCACGCAGGTGCCAGGGATAAGCTAAGCTCACTGCAGCCTAACTCATGCATTAAAGCTACAACATTACAGATATTACAGAGACGCTGTTTAGTATGTATGGCCTGGGCATTTCAAAGTCATCGCAAAATGTCCAGACTTTTCAACCGACAACACACATCCTGCAACTTTAGAGAGATCAAAACATCTCCTAGAGGACAAAGACATATTAATTTTGTATTCCCTATCTAACACTTATCTGACCAGGGGCTTCTGAACAGCACCGCAGAGTGGCATTTATTTTATGTTGGCCTCTGATATGTGCCGTCATGTTGGCTGGATTATCGGTCATGCCTCATTGAGCACCATGATTGGATCAGCAAGGAAAATTTCAGCAGTAAACTAAACAGACACCCGTTCATGTTTACTATCATTGCAATAAACAAGGACACGCAGAAGGGGGGATGTCACTGTGCCGTTTCCTTCCCATCAGACCGCACAGGACTAATGTCATTGAGATAACAAAATATGCATGGCTTTTTTCTGAAAGATAGAGCTGGAATGACTTTATGTTTAAAGGAACAGTTCACCAAAAAATGGAAATTACGAATTTGATAATGTATTAATTAAACTGACAGATCCTAAGAAAGACTACTGGATCCATCTCAGTGGACATCACAGTTTCCCAAACTCACCGTTAACCACCAGGATGATGTCCCGGAAGTCGATCTCTCCCCTGGCCTCAACTCTGGCCTCGCAGCGATACACTCCTTCATCTGCTTTAGTAACTCTCTGGACTTGCAAATTGTTGTTTTGGAGGAGTTGAAACTCTGGAAAACAAAATATTTGATGGCGTGTTAATGACAGGCTAATTTTGCCTTCAAAGGAGCTATATTTATTGCTGGCTGAAATCACATCTACAAAAAAACAACTTTTTTTACCAACTCGCATGTTAACACTTGTCACAACTGAGATGGGAAAGGTATACTATTTTAAAAGTCTTGCAGTGAAACAAGGTCTTAAATCCTTTACAATAATAATACTCTAAGCATTCATTTATTCCTTTTGCTTCTTTCTTTTCGACAATCTTTTTCTCTTTCTCAAATCATCTCCAGAGCAGCTTGAATTCTACAATAATTTTCAATGATTAAAGTGACATAACGCATCTTATCTATTTAGCTGCAAAGGTGTGCTTTACAGTATAGGTGATGGCCAGTATGGCAGATAACTTACTCTCAGTGTCTTCGATGATCTCCACATTGTTATAAAACCAAGAGACCACAGGTACGGGGGAGCTGCTGACATCACAGACCACTTCAGCCACATCACCCTGTCGAAACTCCTGAGGAGACCTCACATCTCTGAACGTCAGCTTCTCTGTGGATCATGGGGGAGAAAAATATTGTGAAATGCTACTCTTATGTACACTACCATTCAAAAGTTTGAGATCAGTAAGACTTATGTTACTTGCCATTTTTTGTAATTGTTTGTGAAATTTACTACAAATTTCTGAGCAAAAATGGTTTCTATATCAGTGTACATACTCTGACACCATGTTATGGTGCTTAAGTAGGAAATGTCAGATGTAGGTGCATGTCAAATCTTCCCTGTGATCTTTCCTTTTCTTTAAACTGTGCAACTCTTCAATAAAACAGCCAAAATTAAAGCAAAACAAACAAATCTGTCTGATTAAGTTGTATGTTGCCAATTGTTGGATCAAGGTTGTACATATTTAATTCCTAACACTTGAAATCGAAGTGGCATAAAGATGAAAGAAAAAAAAATAATGAGGGCTTTGGCATCCTAGTTCAGACTCCCCAGTGAGGTTACCAAAGAAAAATCAACATAAAACAAGGGACATGTCAACATCTACGGCTGCTTGTCATAAATCAGGTGTGCTTCCACATCGTCTCTGATTATTCACAATTCACAGCCACATTCTGACACACCAAAACCACATTTTGTTTGTGTGGGAAGCTGGTGTAAACATTTGCTACACCGCAGTATAAGAAAATGTGTCTTCAGAGGGCTGTATGATGCTGCACATCCTCATCAGCAAAGTGACTCTGCGTATTGATCTGTGAGTCATGTCTGTTTACACACGGCTCTCACTGCTCTAAATACAACTTCTAATGGAACATAGGCAAATGTCAAGCCTGGAACAAAGTCAGCCACAGAGAAGCAAGCTTGTGAAATATCTCCTGAAAGTTTTGCAAGATCTACTAATTAAACACACTGAGGATTAAAATATAATTCTCATACATTTAAAAAAGAAAAAAGAAAGAGAGAGAATCTGATGAACATTTCATGTAGCCTTGTTTTACCCCTGTGCTTTAAACCTTTGAAGCCGGTCCCTTTAAAGAGAGAAATTTCCTCACCCTTGCACCTTTTCCTTTCTTCTTCACTTTGTCTGGGCTTGGCATCTCTCGTTTTCACTCTCATTCTTTATTACTTTTAGTCACCTTTTCCCAATTAATTCAAGAGCTTAACAAAGGAATCAATTAAGGTGTGTTTCCAAAAGTATTGGTTCACTCAAAGATTAAAATTCTGTCATCATTTTCTCACTTTCATCTTGTTTTAAACTTTATTTCTTCTTCTGTGCAACATATAAGAAGAAATTTTGGACTATCAATTACAATGTACGGGAATTGAAGCCTTAAAACTTGAAAGAAAAAGCATCATAATATGTCAATAGATCATTTTTGTATTATATTCTGCAGTTTCTAAGTAATATGATAGCTTTCATTGCATTCATGAGAGATGTAGAAATTTGTGAATTTGAATTTGTGACCAATCATTTTTGTTTCAGATTTTTTTTAATGAATATGATCACAAGATTTCTGTTCACAAAATCAGTCCAAATTATTGATTTATAAATAGGGCTCATGAATCTGAATTGATGTACTGCAAAAGTGATTTAATTATTCTGTATTTTTCCCCCAATACAAGCATTATTCAATCAAGATGATGTAAGATATTAATTCTTGTTATAAAAATTAAGTGAGTTTAAGCTTAAAATAACAAAAAGTATCTGTCAAAGGGGTAAGAAAAATAAACTTAATTCAAAAGGAAAACAGTTTATTTTTAATATTATATTATTTCATTGATAAAATATTAATATTTTTAATTTCTATAAATATTTAGATACTTTTAGAAAATAATTAAAATATGTCATTTTGCTTCTCAAGCACACTTATCTTGATTTAGGAAAGTTCATATTTTTTGTACTAGAAAACAATTTTTTGCAGTGAATCTATTCAAAGCAGTTCTCAGGTTAAGAGCTCACTGATAATCACTGGATATTATCATTCACTGAATTTCATTTTCATATTTTGTAACTATTGTATGACTTCAGAAGTCTTGGAATAAAAAGTCAACAATTATGGAGTAAATTATGATTTATTTGCATAAACAACAACCACTACATTCCTTAGAATTTCTAATTTTTGTTCCACAGAGCAAAGAAAGTTGTGAACTATTACTTTAATGCACCATGCTAAGGAGCATTCAGTTGACCACAACACAACTATTCTCCCCTGCCCCTGTCACTTTTTCCCCTCACAATAATGCTGGTTCTCTCTCTGCCGTGTGTCGGCAGCTGTCTCATTGTCGGGGGAATTACATTTAGCTTTACATCAACAGATTTGTCAAACATCTTCGGATGGAACACGTCCATTTCCCTTGCATTGTGAGGCTCTCTTTGAAAGCTTTTGGATGTCCTCTATTCACAGGGAAAATCAAAACAGCTATTTCAATGGCAGCATTTCCAATGGTTAAGGTTTTTTTTGTGCTGACATGCATAATGTCCTTAGCTATGTAATGGATTCCCAAATAGTTGTGCCAAGATGTTATTCCATTGTAATTTGCATCAATACATAGTAGACTTGAATTGCTTTTATAGCTGGGACATGTAACAGCATGATTCCTTGTAATATGCTGAATAAATCTCAATGTAAATGTATGATAATTCGAGGTAAAAGTTTGCATCAGATATAATCTCCAAAGAGAACAAATGAGGACAGATGGAGGGTAACTGAATAATTTTTTTTTCTTCAGGTGCAATTTTTTTTCTATCTTTGTATTGATTTCAGAAATGGCTGAAATTGGAATGATGCATGTTACTGGAGACAAACAAACTTTTGATATTTCAACACTTACCATCTATAAAACTCAATCTGTCAGAACTTTACTTCTCCACGTGAAAAGCCAGCTTGTTATTTTCTCTATTTATTTGTAAAATAGAGCAAAAAAGACAATTATCTTGGTATCTCTGACTGGTCTCCTGCCACAGTTGTGAGTCTGGGCTTTGACAGTGATAGGATGTTGAAAGGGACAGCATCCCGACCGCTCAGAGACCACAGGCGTGCCAGGAAGCCTGGTATCCTCTGGGTGAATTCTGCGTGCTGAGTGCCATGAGCAGCTGAGAGAAAAGCTGCTTGCTTTTCGTGCTGAAAAGCCCCACAATGTTGTTGAATCACTGGTGATTTAGAATCTAAATTCTTAAAATTCTCTAACTGGTTCTGTCTCTAAACACAAGCAATATACTGTATAGTAAACACTGGAACATTAATGTGAAAAGATTTGCTGTGTTCTGGTTCACTGAAGTTCAGTGAAGCTCGGTTCTGGCTCATGTCATTTTCTGACACTCAACTCTTAAAAATGTAACGTACATATCTAGGCCAAAATTAGAATACACACATATTAAAAAATGGATTTCTCCTGCTTGTTCAACAAAGTTAATTAAGATAATGCAACACAGTTCTTGATCTTGATTTTATTGCATGCAATTAGTTTGTTTATTTTTGCACTTTACCGAATCCTAATTATTTCTTTATTTCTGTTTAAAAAGAAGTTTAAAATGGAAAAGTACTGTTGAAAAAGCTAAATGTAATTCTGTGGTTCTGATGTTCATAAAATACTTTTTACCTAAAACAGATTAATTCATTAAAAGACATTTTGTGAAATTATTCTATTTTTGATATTTAATTCCAAGCTCCTGTTAATTTCTAATCTTCAGATTTATTTGTTATTTATTTATTTATTTGTTAGCGATACTCACGGTAGATTTCCAGCACCACAGTGGCCTCCTGTGTATGTCCCTGTGCGTCGCTGGCCTGGCACCGGTAGATGCCAGCATCTTCTATTTTGGCATTGTAGAGGGTGAGTCTGGAACGAAAACCTTCATTGTGCAAGGCCACCCGCTGAGACGGGACCATCCGCTCCCCCTGCGGGTTATACCAGTCCAGACTCACAGGCTCCCCAATCACTACAAACACACACACACACACAGATATGGTCATACAATACAGAAAAAAGTTTAGAGAACAACTTGACAATATTTTTTTTATAAAACACATTTTTTTTTTTTAGAAATATGTTCTAATCTAAAGGGAAACAAATGCTTTTATGGACACATTTCACTGCCATTCCAGTTGGTGCCGCTGGTGGTGCAGAACTTCCCCTTTAAGGATATCTTTTAAGCCTCTGGTAGTGGCATACACGCTCTCTTTGTCTCCCAAACACACACTGTGATAAACAAAACCCGTGATGTGCTTTGCCTTGCAGAGAGCGGCTGGCCGAACCCACACTTGGTACCAAGGTGCTTGGCGCTGTAAATCCTGCTCTGCTGGAAGGTCATAAAAAACATCAGCATGGTGCAGCACTTCTCCGCTCGAAGCATCAATCAGCCACACAACAGCGGCCTTCGGCTGCACTATGGGGGAGCGTGAGACTGCGACTCCAGGTAGATGGGCAGGCCAGAGGATGCAACTGGCCCCATGATGCAGCTCTGCCAAGGGAGAAACGCTGAGAGCGGGCAGGGGGTTATCAATGAAGGAGCAGAGGCTGATTTGAGGGACGTGAGAGGTTCAAGGAGAGGACAAGATGGCATAATCTTAGACGCTGGACCCTGAAGGGGTTAGGATGAGATGTTAGGGGTTGAAGGGCTCAGGGACAAAGCTTAGCGCACTTCAATGGTCACGAAAACAAACTTTGTTGGATCTCCTATTTCACATTCATTTGTCTTCACTTGTGAATGGAGTTTAGTTAAGTTTGGGAAGTGAAAGAGTTATGGTATGGCATAATGGTTAAAGATCTGGGCTAGCAGCCAAAAGACTCTAGGTTCAAGCTGTGCAAAGGGAGGGGGATCCATGAGCTATCAACACTATGCCCTTGAGCAAGACACTTGATCCACTTATCCCAGTAATAAGAGGACTGTCAGTCACTCTTAGGGTTGCATGAAATTGTAATTTAAAAAAAAAACTGACTTTGTAATATTTTGCTTTTCTGCACTATAAATTGTGATATAAAAATACAGGAATTTTCCCCAAATGACTTAACCCTTAAATGCATAATTGTTTTCTGCCTCACATTCACGATCTCAGCCATATTCTCAAAACTATCATTTTCAATGACTTCATATTCAATATTTTGATCACTGGCAGCTTATTCACCACATCCAGCATCAAATGACAGTGACATTTATATTTCATTGCGTATAGTAATTGCTCTGCAGTAAAGCCATTCAAACCAGTTAAATTTTTGCTGATGATATTCGTTTGTTTTATGCCTGGGGTAATTATGAGTGAAAGGTCACGTCATCATTGTGTATCAAACAGTGCCACTTTGTGGAAAAAAGATGCATTGCACATATTGATCAGATATGTAAATATAGTTGCCAGGAAAAATACTTACACATTTACATACCTCGGGTCTCTAGCGACCCTATACACTTTTTTTTTACAAAAAATTAATCAGAAAACTGGCATTCTTTTATATTTCACTATTTTCTTCTTATATTGTTTATGATTAATAGATTTAGGAATACTAAGAAAGTTGATGTCTAACTTTAAAAAATGAAGGAGGGAGAGGGTAGAGAATGATGTCCCAGGTCGCTAAAGACCCAAGGTATGCATTTAAGGGTTAAAAAGCTATATTTGGGAAGAATTTATAATTCTAGAATAACTGACCCTTCGCAAAGGCTTGAGTTTTAAATCTAACATTTCTACTTTTTTTGACTCAATGTAACTAAAATAACATCATTGCTATTATGATTATTACAAAAATTATAAAATATTAAGAACAAATTATACCATTGTAGAGTAAAAAACACTCACAAGTGGCACACGTGTAAATGAACACAGTGCTGCGCTTTACTCTGAAATGGCAGGTTATATATTTAATTAAATCAAAGTCTTTGTGATATGACTAATTCATTAAGCCATTTCTCTGTAGATAGAATAATCTGCTAAATCACCACTTCCTAGCAAAAACATGATACACTTTAGGCTGATCCACAATGATCTATTTCAGACATCAGAGACGTTTTGTTTTCTAGTTCAGTATGCACTAAACAAAATAGGCTGGTATTATATATAATAGACTGGATTAAAGTGTAGGACAAGTCTTCTACAGTTATCCACCATTATGTGCTGTATTCACTCTTCTGGAGCAAATAACTTCCAAAACAACTAGCACCCAAATGAATCTGTCCTACTGAAGCCTAAAATAGAACTTTATATATACATCAAACCAATACAGTTTCTCTCACACTCCCCTGCACATCCCAAAGCTATTTTTGAAGGTGAGCATGCTGGTTTGCCTCAGCTAGTTGACCTGAAGGTCTGCAGAGCATGTGTGCACCCTCCATATCACCAGATACATACACACCAGGTGTGCTAATCACCCGCAATCTGGCGGCCGTCCAGCAGGGGTCAGCATGCATCACCCTGTTTAAAGCATGCTGTCAGGAAGTGCCTGAAGCTCAGGCAGCAGAGCCCTGCAGCCTGACTACAACAGCTCAGCCATGTGGAAAAGAAAAACAACATCTAGCTTCACAACAAAACCTGCCCAACATAATCTACCCCTGTGCACATGGATCTCCATACACGTTTCCTCCAGTACACTGTCCAAGCACAAACTTGCCTGCGGTTTACAGACAACACTTGACTGGTTTAGAATGATAAGGACCTTTGAGCAAGGGAATTTTAGATGCTTACACAAAGCTGGTGATCTAGAGGAGAAGGTTTCAAACTTTTTAATGGCAAGGACCCCCAAACATGACAATCCCATATATATTTTCACTGTGTGAGAAAAATATAAATTGTGTGTGTACATTACCTTTCAAACGTTTGGGGATTTCTTTTATGTCTTTGAAATGTCTCTTATGCTCAACAAGGCTCATAAAAATACAGTAAAAACAGTAATATTGTGAGATGCTATTGCAATTTAAAATAACCATGTTCTAATTTTATTTATTTGAAAATATATTTCTGTGATGGGAAAGCTGAATTTTCAGCAGTCTTCAGTGTCACATTATCATTTAGAAATCATTGTAAAATGTGGATTTGGTGCAAACATTTCTTATTATCTATGTTGAAAACAGTTGTGCTGCTTTTTGCTTTAAATATATATTTTTTCAGGATTCTTAGATGAATTAGGGGTTTGAAACAGAAATCTTTTTTTAACATTATACAGTGGGCATAGAAAAGATCCATCCCCCTTTAAAATAATCACATTTTGTTGCTTTGCAACCTGAAGTGAAGATGGGCACAGTTTTTGTTTTATCCAGCTGTATTTACTCAGTGCAACTTAAATGCAACAAGGTATACCTTCGCATACCTTGTCAGTGTCGTGCGCTTGCTTGGCCCTTTGTTGTGATAAACAGTAAAGTGTGTTCCAGCACTAGCAAAAGACAGTGTAAAGAAATAATCTTTGTGAGAAGCAGTCAATCAGCGGAAGTTAAAAGCAGATAGTAAGTGTATTTATTTCTTGTCTCATTAGTGTTTAGCGCAGTTGTCGTTGCTAGGAAACGCTTGTTTTGTTTACTGTGTTGAGATATGCTGAAGTTGCGTTTGGTCTCGTACTTTATCGCATACCTTGTCAGTGCCGTGCACTTGCTCAGCCCATTGTTGTGATAATCAGCAAAGTGTGTAAATTTTCAATCAATTTTTGTTTTGTGAAACGGGTATAAAAAAGCTTAGTATAACACGGCAGCCCTCGTGTGAAGCCCTCCTTGTGTGAAGACCGAAGAGTGTAAAGACCATCGACTCTACCGTGCGACTCCACCGGGCAGGGACACCGGCAAGGGACATAAGTATCTCTTTTGATTCATTCTCTTTTCTACTACTTGTTTCACTTTGGTTTTCAGTTTTTATAACCAATTCTTACTATGTGTTTCCAGATCCCTACTATCACTACCACTTGCAACCCACACATCACACACTGTAGGCAGCACAATCCTAACAACCAGCGCTCTTTGCCTATGTCTGCTAATACACTACTTTCTTTTTCTATTGGTCTCTGGAATTGCCAGTCTGCAGTAAACAAAGCAGATTTCATTACATCTTTTGCTAATCATTTAAGACTAAACCTCATGGCCCTGACAGAGACCTGGATCAAACCAGAGGACACTGCTACACCTGCAGCACTATCCAATAATTTCTAATTTTCCCACACTCCCCGGAGGTGGAAGAGGTGGAGGTACTGATCTACTTATCTCTAATGATTGGACATTTATTCCTTTACCTTCTCTGGGTATTAACAGCTCCTTTGAATCACATTCAGTCACTATTACCCACCCTTTTAAAATCTATTTTGTAGTTGTTTATCGACCCCCTGGACCACAAGGTAACTTCTTGGATGAATTAGATGTGCTGCTCTCAAACTTTCCTGAGGATGGTACTCCCCTAGTTATGCTTGGAGACTTCAACATCCACCTAGATAACCCTCAGGCTGCAGACTTCTGCAGACTTCCACACTCTGCTTGCCTCTTTTGATCTCAAGAGAGTGATAACTACAGCTACTCACAAATCAGGCAACCAACTGGACCTTATTTACACATGACACTGCTCCACTGATCATGTACTGGTTACTCCACTGCACACCTCGGATCACTTCCTTCTCACTCTTAACCTCAACATGGTTCCTGACACAACACATACCCCTCCACATGTCATCTTTCGATGTAACCTACACTCACACTCTCACCCTCCCGGCTATCTGCTATGGTTTCTTCTTCGCTTCCTCCCCCTAATCAGTTAGCATCTCTTGATGCTAACAGTGCTACTGATACTTTCTGCTCCACTCTTACATCTTGTTTAGACACTGTCTGCCCCTTGTCTTCCAGGCCAGCCCATACCACCCCTTCTGCCCCTTGGCTGTCTGATGTTCTCCGGGAACATCGTTCTAAGCTCAGGGCTGCTGAAAGGGTGTGGCACAAATAAAAAAATCCTACTGACCTTAATATGTATAAGTTACTCCTCTCTTCCTTCTCTGCTAATGTCTCCACTGCTAAAAGGACATACCATCTCAGCTTGTCTAACAGACATTTCTTGCTGGATGAAACTGGCTACCAATAGCTGCTCGCATAAAATTCAAGGCATTAATGTTTGCCTACAAAACCACCACTGGCTCTGCAACCCTTTACCTAAATTCATTACTTCAGACTTATGTGCCCTCTAGAAGCTTGTGCTCTGCAAGTGAACGTTGTTTTATTGTGCCATCCCAAAGAGGCACAAAATCACTTTCACAGACTTTTAAATTAAATGTTCCCTCCTGGTGGAATGACCTGCCCAACTTAATCCGAGTAGCTGAGTCCTTAGCCATCTTCAAGAATTCGGCTAAAAACACATCTCTTCCATCTTTTTTTGATCCTCTAACTCTAGCACTCTCTATTCTAACTCTATTTATAAAAAAACACTAACTTGCTCTATTCTTTTTCTATTCTATCTGTTTTTCTTTTTATTTATTATACAATAAAAAAAACTTGCTACGTGTACTGCATTAAGCTAACTAAGACTTGTTATAGCACTTGCATATCATTTCTCTTTTGTTGATTTTGATTGCTTCCATTGTCCTCATTTCGAGTCGCTTTGGATAAAAGCATCTGCTAAATGACTAAATGTAAATGTAATGTAATGTAAACTTATAACATCCAAGTGAAAGATTTAACACCAACATGTCAGAAAAAAACCCATCTTACTCACCCCAAACTTTTGAATGGTAGCCTGTGTGTATGGGCTATGTGTGTATGTTTTTTTTACCATTACAAACTGTCAATATAGTGTGATTATTCTGACAGTTATTTAATTTCAGATCAGCCTGTACAAAGCAGAATTAGACTACAATAATATCAAATGTAATAACTGTGATAAACACAACATAATTAATAGCATAGGTTAGCATGGCGATGTTGAACAACTCTTAAAAAATAATTTGGTAAAATTCCCACAAAACAACCCATTACAGCCCCATGAAGGTCCCTAGACCCAAGTTTGAAAACCCCTGATCTATTTTTGTAAAACAACCAATATAAAAACAGCTGTCAGTCCAAGATAAAATAATCAAACATACTGTACACATGCACTAACACACTGGCCCTGGTCATGAAGAAAGCCTTCGTCTTAGAATTCAATACTGCTTACAATGGGAGAGGTTATTCAACCTAAATAAACGACTACTCGAGTCAGCAATACGCAAATTGTGTGCATTCATGCATTTCTCTCATATACATCAGCGTAAGAGACGTGATGAGGTGGTGCTGTGGGAAAACTGACCTGTGCATGTGAAAAACTTGGACTCTCCAACGCTCAACTCCACCTTTTTTAGTGAGATTGACACCTGGAGGACACCTGCAAAACAAAGAAAAAGAGACAGAGAAAGATGAGAGAGAGGGGTAGCAATCAGAAATGCAGCACACGAACCACAGATACAACAAGAGTGCTTCACGTGTTCCTGCCACAGAAATCACACCAAACCACAGGCGGCACAAAAGAAAAAAAAAAACTGTCTTTGCAAGCGGGAGAGATGAGAGGGTAGAGGGAGACTTCTATAAGCCCCCTCCCAATCACTTCAATCAGGCTAGCCAGGTACAAAATAAGTGAGGAAAAGAAAGGGACACAAGACAGACAAAGCTTTGATCTGTCTTTCCTTTTCCTTTATATATATATATATATATATATATATACAGACTGTTCTTGCATTGCATTTCAATTTCAGGGAGAAATCCACTAAGAATGAACTGCCCCCAAAGGTGGCATCATTTATTTGTATGCATAGTCCAAGTGGTTTTAGCATGCATTCAACCAATTTAAAGACCTGTGTGGAACATGAACTCTAGCAGAATTTCCAAGCTCCTTTTTTCCACACAGTGAAAGTGAATGGTGACCACCAGTGCAGTGCAGAAATGGCAATAACTGTAAATTAATCTGTATCTGTTGCAATAAAATTATCTGTGAATTAGCATAGAACTAGATGTGGATCAAAACTAAATGAAGTACCTTTTAAAAATGTCATTTTTAGTGTCCATATAGAAAATATGGCTTGGATAATTAAGACAATAATTAATTACATTAATAAAATTAAAATATATACTGTACAAACTGTATTTTCTATCCCCTTACCCTAACCCTACCCCTCACACAAAACTTTCTGCTATGTTAGATGGTCAAAAAGGATCATTATAATGGGTCCTCCTAATGGGGACCAACAACAACAACAAAAAAGTCCCTACAAGGACAAAAATGACTGGTATTTCTATACTTTACTAAAACATACTTGTGGGAACATTTGGCCCCCATAATCTAGGGACTATCAGGACAACACACATACGAGTTCAAAAAGGCAAAAAAAATATTATGTATTATTAATTATTTATCATAATAAATGATCAAAATATGACTAATAACAATACCAATCAATAATTTTTTTCATTATTATTAGTCATGCTTCCATCTTTATTAACCTATTTTAACTTAATTTAATTTCACACTCACAAACATTAAGGATTAATTATAAGATTCATGAGTAATAATTAATAAAATAATAATAATAATTCGATTATAATCTGATTTATAAATGAACATGTCATTGATACTGGATTCAGAGACTGACCATTGCATTGGACTTATTATTCATGTCTTTCCAAATAAGGGATTTCACATTTTGCTTTCCTAGTGACCAGGGGTGTTACTCGTCCACTTTTACTGTTTTGTACCTTAAGCAGCTTGAGCATAGAATAAGTGTTGTGTGCATTAGAAATATGTTAATGTGAGTTTGGGACAACACGAGGGTGAGTTATTGTGGTGATTTGTTTCTTTAAAACTGCTCAGTGCCAGATACAATCACCATGTTCTTCTACTCACAGAGCCAATCATATGGACAAGACAGTGGGATGTCTGTGTTTCCTCTTTAAATGTGGTCTGTGAATTTATGGCTCGGGTAGAGGTGAGGGCAGCGGACTGCATATGAATGAGAAAACAAACGCATGCAGTAGCTGGAGCATGAATGTGTGAGAAAGCAGACTGTAGAATTTTTCTGTTCATCCGAGAATGACCAACTCGAGTTCTGTTTTATGTTTTTCGCACATCGGCATGAAAGAGTCAAGAGCAAACTGAGCACGCATACACACTTGCGAACGCACAAAGACACACTGATGGAGCTCACGGGGGAAGCACTGGCATCTGGCGTAATGATTAATTACAGCAGTGGGGCTGGAGCTAGTCATCTGGATGGAGACAAGTCTGAGGGTGTGTGAGCTGCTGCCCGTTGAAACCAGAATATAATTACTCCCCAAGACTACTTTGAAAAAAATAAAAAGTCTTCCCATTATGTTGTTTTCCCCACTTATAGTACTGTTATTACAAACAATATTACATGTTTGATGTCATGACCTAATGAATGAAATGACACTCAATATTGTATAGAAATGATCTGAAGATGCTATTACACTTTACGCTTTGAGTCGAGTACTTTAACACCTGCAATCAAAGCATCTGTATCTCACATTCACTAAACATTGGTGAGGGAGGATGTTAGGCAAACTGCCTGTGCTATGCTTAAGCAGACTCGCACTCCTGGAACACATTTCCATGTGTTTGATTTCTCCTAAAGCAAAATTCACCTCCAGAAATTTCAGTCAAAGAAAATGCATAATTCATGAATATAAACACTGATCTTGTAAATTTTGCACACACATGTTTAACAGATAGACAAGTATACGAATGAGCCCCTAAAAACAAACTTGCCTATAAATGGCAAAGATAGATTATTTGTATTTTCTGTTATTTTTGATTGAAGTTAGTTTGGAATAAAGTTATTTGGGATCAGGATTTATTTCTTGGTAAAGAAAAAAAATAATATTTATTTATTTTTTTAAATTAATACCTTTATTCAGCAAGGATAAAATACTTTCACAATTGTTACATTGTTATTTTAAATTAATGCTGTTTTGAGTAAATTTAGGTAAATGTTGGCATAACAACAATAAATTACATAAACACATGAATGTAAAAAAATTACACCATATTAATTTTTTACAGTTTTTTTATCAGATAAATTCAGCCTTAAATGGTGAGCATTAAAAACTTCGTTCAAACACATAAAAAAAATCTTACTGACCCCAAACGTTTGTACAATGATAGTGCACATAAAAAAAACCAATGATAATAATAATAATAATAATAATAATAATAATAATAATTGATTAACAATACAATGACTATATACATATATATATATATATAGTTTATAAATTATATAGAATTTATTAACAATTATATGTATTCTTTTAAACAATTAATAATAACATATATATTCTCTCTTTGGTCATTCTGGCATACTCTCACCTGCCTGTTTTATCTTGTGCTGAGATCTCCTAGTTTGAGTTCTGATAGCATGTGAGGTTATCTTTGACAACTTCCCTCGTGGCCAGAACTTGAACTAAATGTAATTAAAGCAATTCATTACTTCACACTCACATGAGAGTCGCTTCTCTGATTAAACCTAACTGTCTGTCAGCCAAATAATCTAATTAAACTGATACGAATCAACAGTCATTGGAGCAAAAATAGAGAACACCAGTTTATTCACCAATTTATGAGCTGAGATAATGAAAAGAGAAACAAAAGACACTATTGACAAACCAGACCACCAATGGGGTAGATCCACACTTTTTGGCATTAAGCACATCTATTTCAAGCTGTGGAACACAACACGCGTGTTGTGATGGTAGAGCACAGCTCTGTGAAATGGAAAACGGAAGAGTGCGGGAGCTGTAGAGATGAGGTCCCAAAGCAATTAGATGTGCAAATGGAGAGAGCCAGCCACAAATGTGCAGCCTGTGCCAAAATAAGTAATGCCCCAAAATATCAATACCTGCCAAAAAAAAAAAAAAAAAATTATTGAGACGCAAGAGCAACAAACTTCTAATGATAACTAAAAGCCGGAAAGTGCATGGGTCCACCTAATAATATTTGCTCACACGGGACCCCAGACCAATAAAAACAGTCTGAAATCAGTGGTCACCTGAAGTACAGACATAACTCTCTGCTTTACTGTAATTTTGTGGTGTGTTTGTCGTTCTGAACAAAATGACTGTGTAGAAAAAGCGAGTTAGCGCTAATTAAGCAGGCAGCAGTGCAAAGCCCCCAGGCTGAGCAACTACACATCAGTCATTTAACAGTCCACTCCACTATGTAGTGCTATTCTTCCTCACTGTTACTGAGATAATCTTTAGAATGGATCTTTAAAATGGGTTTCTCTTAATGAATCGGTCAAACTGAACCACAAATAAGACCTGAACCTGATTGGCTAATGTACCACAAGATAGACCCACACCCTTCTTAGTGATTACCATGAGCTATGATGTTGAAGATGGAGGGGACCTTAAAAAAATACATTGAAAATAAATGGAAAAAATACAACTAATTTTGAACAGCTGTAAATGAAGAATGATGCTTTTGCCCCTAGAATGGTGTAATTTTGGCAGGGAGTAACATGGGAAAAGCCCGAATAAAGTGCATTCATACTTGAAGAGAGGTTGGTGCTAGCGTCAGATCTATATATTGTGCAAGGATCACAAGGAAGGCAATTCAAAGACTATTTTTCACAACTTACAATACACAGTGTCTTGTAATCTTGTAATGTCATCTGTATGGTTCTATTGATGGAGTAATCCTGTGTTTGCATCTCTCTAGTATTTCCTCTCCTACTACTACAAGCGCGTATCAGTGTGTGGGGCTAAAGAGGCAGTGCTGTAGAAGCAGGCGTTGATCTTCTTCTGCGGAGGCGAGTACTTTAACACCTGCAATCAAAGCATCTGTATCTCACATTCACTAAACATTGGTGAGGGAGGATGTTAGGCAAACTGCCTGTGCTATGCTTAAGCAGACTCGCACTCCTGGAACACATTTCCATGTGTTTGATTTCTCCTAAAGCAAAATTCACCTCCAGAAATTTCAGTCAAAGAAAATGCATAATTCATGAATATAAACACTGATCTTGTAAATTTTGCACACACATGTTTAACAGATAGACAAGTATACGAATGAGCCCCTAAAAACAAACTTGCCTATAAATGGCAAAGATAGATTATTTGTATTTTCTGTTATTTTTGATTGAAGTTAGTTTGGAATAAAGTTATTTGGGATCAGGATTTATTTCTTGGTAAAGAAAAAAAATAATATTTATTTATTTTTTTAAATTAATACCTTTATTCAGCAAGGATAAAATACTTTCACAATTGTTACATTGTTATTTTAAATTAATGCTGTTTTGAGTAAATTTAGGTAAATGTTGGCATAACAACAATAAATTACATAAACACATGAATGTAAAAAAATTACACCATATT